CCCCAGCGGGCTCTATGATCGGCCAAGGTCCCATCCATTTCGGAAGGAGCTTGCAAGAGATGTCTTGTTCAAGGCTGAATTCCGCGGCGGAAACCCAGACGAGGTCCCCGGCGCGGAATGGACAAGGGAGACGCTGGCGATTGGCCTGCTGGCTCATGCGCTGCTGTGTCTTAGCCATCTGGTCGCGTGCCTTGACAAGAAGCTCTTGCATCCGACGCAAGAAAAGAAGATGGTTGTTGCTCTCGGTCGTGCGTGGAGCGATAGTGTCCAACGGTGACGTGACCGGCGAGCCGTGCTCGAACTTGAAGGGCGATATCCCAATAGCCGGGTGGATGGAAGAGTTGTAGGCCAACTCGACATCCGGCAGTCGCTCAACCCAGTCTTTCTGGTCGGGGCGGATGAGAGTGCGAAGGAGAACCTGTGCGGTCTGATGCGCCCTCTCCGTCTGGCCATCGGTCTGAGGGTGGCGCGCTGAACTGGGCTTGAGAGATGAGCCCCATCGTTTGATGAGCGCCAACCAAAAATCGGACATGAACCGAGTGTCGCGGTCGCAGACGATCTCCTTGGGGTAACCCTTGGTGCGAATCCAACCGGCGTACAAAACCTCGGCCAACTCCGGTGCCTTGGCATGCTAGCGACAAGGCAAAAACATGGCGAACTTGGTGAGTCGGTCGACCACCGTGAGAATCCCATCCACTCCGGTCTTGTGCTTGGGGAACGGGCCGGTAATGTCCATGGCAATCGCTTCCCTTCGCCTCAACGGGACCGGCAATGCTCGTAGCTCGCCGTACGGACSATGGTTGCGGGATTTGCAGCGTCGGCAAACCTCGCAAGACTTGCAATAGCGCGTGACGTCGCTGAGAAGGCCAGGCCACCAAAATCGCTGGCGAAGTCGGCCAATCGTGCGATTGACCCCGAAGTGTGCAGTGGCGGGAGCATCGTGGAACTCGCCAAGAAGCTGTGTACGCAAGTGAGGATCACTTGGTACGCAAAGAAGGTCCTTCCCCCGCGTGTGGACAAGCAAGTACCCCTCCTCGATCCGGTAGTGAGAAGGAGACGGATTAGGCGAGGAGCAATTCTCGTACTTGTCGCGAAACTCGGAGTCGGCTTGGTAGCCGCGGATGAAGCTGTTCCGCAGGTCGTCGTCAATCTCGAAAGTTGAGTAGACCACGGTACAATGATCCAGACGCCGTGAAAGAGCATCCGCAAAACGGTTCGACTTCCCGGGAATGTGATCGGGAAAGAAGTCGAACTGGTCGATAAAAGCCATCCATCGAGCGATGGTGYTGTTGACGGTGTCCTGGGTCTTGTAGAAGACCAACGGATTGTTGTCCGTTACCCAGCGAAATTGGCTTCSACCAAGGAGGAAGTGCCGCCAYCGCTTGAGCGCGTGGACGAAGGCRAGGAGCTCCTTCTTGCGTGCATCGTCGATRGAATGCACGAGGGGYACTTTCTTGCTGAAGTACTCGATCGGGTGCCAGTCCACACCATCATGTTGCTCGAGGACTGCACCAATGCCATATCCTGACGCATCCGTAGTGACACGCGTAGGTGCGAGCGGGTCGTAGATTCGCAAGACCTCCGCAGACARTAGCGCGGCTTTGAGAGCGAGGAATRATCCCCGCRCCTCCTCTMCAAATTCAAACGGACGATCCTCGCACTGAAGCTTGTTCAAGTGGGCCGCGATCTTGGAGTAGCCTTCGATAAAGCGCTGATAGTAGCCGGTAAGACCAAGGAACGAGCGAACTTCCGTGACGTTCCGAGGCTCCGGCCACTCTTGGACGGCCTGAATTTTGTCCGATAGCGGACTGATGCCCTCCACTGTGACAAAATGGCCCAAGTATTCCAGCTCCTGCCGGGCAAATTCACACTTGTCGCGGTTGGCCTTGTACTTGGCGCGGCGGAGCGTCTCCAACACTCGTCGAAGGTGCCCCAGATGATTCTCCAATGACCGGCTGTTGACGAGAATATCGTCTAAGTAGACCAGCACGAACCGGTCCAACATTGCACGGAACTCGTTGGTCATCGTCGCCTGGAACGTCGCCAGGGCGTTGGTGAGGCCAAAAGGCATGACCACCCACTCAAAATGCCCGTACCGTGTCTTGAACGCGGTCTTGTAGCGATCGTGCGGCTGGATCGAGATTTGATGATATCCCGATTTCAAATCCAACTTGGAAAAATACTTCGCGTCGCCCAGTCGCTCGAGAAGATCGTCGATGCGAGGCAGAGGCCCCGCATTCTTGATGGTTTGCGCGTTGAGCTTGCGGTAGTCGATACACAATTGTAGATCCTTGTTCTTCTTCCTGACGAAGAGAACAGGTGCTCCATATGGGGAGCTGCTCGGGCGGATCCAGCCTTTGGCCAACAAATCATCGAGTTGTGCGCGGAGTACCTCAAGCTCCTCCTCGCTCATCCGATAGATGCAACCTTTCGGCGGCACAGCACCGGCCTCAAGAATGATCTCGTGAGAGATCAGCCGATCCCGCACCACACCGGTAGGTGACTCGAAGATATCGGCGAACTCGTCCAGCAACCGTACCACACGGGGGTCCGAAGACAAGTCCGTGGGGGAAGAGTCGGCTACCGCGACGGTGTGTAGGAAACATAGGCCGATCTCATCGGGCTGCTCGTAGGCACAAGTCGCCCGGAATGATTTGGCCGTTACCACTTGGCACCGGATCGAAGAGTGCGGTAGAGGAACAGTACACGCCACTTCCACGCCGAAGGCGTCGCGAACGCTAAGAGTCCGCCGATGGAAGTTGACCATGTGATCCGCACTTGCAAGCCAAGGCATTCCCAGAATGATGTCGAAGTCCGTGTCGAGAATATCGAACGTGACCGGTTCGCATGCATGAGGTGCGAAGTAGAYCGGTACRGCCTCGATGTAACGGTCGAGAAGTTGCTGCGTCKTACCGTCCGCCAACTTGATCGCCGTCGGGTTTGCCTTCCTCCGAACCTGTGCGCCAAGGCCAGCCCTTTGCATAAAGGATTGGCTCATGAAGTTGCGAGTCACGCCGCTATCCAGCAAAGCGCTGCAGGACGCTTGCCCAACTTGAATGCGGACATACATCAGCGGTGCGTTGTTGTCATCGTACCGCTGCGTGCGAAACTCGCGGGCCACCTCGGTAGTATACGCCAAGATGTCCCCCACTGCGACTTCGTCATCCGTCGGCGAAGTTGGTGGTGCATAGAAGGATAGGTAAGTGTGAAGATTAGCGCTAAGTGCTGCGCATTGCGGTCCCGGCAATCGGCCGGTGGTCGGGAGAGGAAGCCATGCAAAGTCCTCAGACGTGAGCGGGTCCAATGCCTCTATGTTGAACTCGCGCGCCGAATCCCGTGAAGAACCACTTGAAGACGAATTGTCGCCGTTGCCGGACGGAGAAGAAACCGCACACAATCCTTGTCCCTGAGCTTGAGTACCCAGCGTTGGAACGAGCCGGGCAGCATAGTCGTCAAAAGAAAGTAGAAGAGGAGGACTATCGACTTCCGCATGCGCCTCGGAATGAAGGCCGGCTACTCACGAAGAAACCGGTTCCGAAGGCGTCGAGAGTGTCGTCGAGTCACTCTCGGCGGTGCTCAGTTTCCCTGTCTGCCCTTGCCTTTCAATAGGCAAGCCTGCGTCTGGTGAAGATCGTTGTTGCACCAAAGGCAATAATGGAATCTCTCGCGCGCCTTGAATGCGGACTCGGAGATGCCATACTGGGTCCATGGGCATGTCTGAGCTGCTGCACCAGGCCCGGGGCTAGATGCGGTGTGTGTCTTCGTCCTGCCGCGTCCTCGGCCTTTGCCGGGGCGGCCACCTTCCCGGGCGGCTACGAGTCTGACTCCTTCACTGGCAGACACAGCCTCGCTGGTTTGGTCTAACGGCGTTGCCGCTGCGACCACGACCACTCTTGGCCGATGCTGGTCCCTGCTCGGGCCTGACGCAGATGAACGATGGTTCTTGGCCTCCTTGTTTGTGATAATGATCTGCGCAGCCTTGTCGAACAACTCCGCCGTCGTCGTCAAGGTGTCTTCGACATGCGTCAGGGCGTTGCTTAATGTCGGACATGACCTTGAGATGAAGTAATGGCGGATGGCCTTGAAGCCCATCAGGATGTCTGGGACTGACGTCAAGCGTTGGTACTCGGCGATCCAATCCGTACTCGGTAGCGTGCCTTGCTCAAAGACCATGAGCTTGTCCATGGCTTTGATCTCTAGCGGCTCCACCTGGAACCGCTTGTGCCACGCCGCCTTCAGATCATCCCAACTGATCACGGTGTGCAAGTCCGCTGCTACCACTCCATACTTAGACAAGAGGTTGTCCAACCAAGCCTGGCACGCGCCCCCTGAGCGAGAGTACAGGTAGGCGTGATGCTTGTGTTCCTTGACGTTGGACAGCAGCAGCGTGAGCTCGAACTTGCGAAACCATGGAATAGGATCTGTCTTCGTTGAATCGCAGAAGATCTCCTGCCCGTCGAACTTTGGAGTGGTCTCGCGCGGTTCTGTACTCGAAGTGGTGGCGGTAGTGCAGATCCGCCGTTGCAATTGCTGTGTCGCGGTCTGCTGCGATTGTACGCCATCCTTAAGTGCACCGACGTCCATCTCCAATGCATTGAGGCGATCGGTAGTGTTGGAAGAGCCTGCGTCTGCGGCAGCGGCTGGTCGCTGCTCCAACCGCTGAAGGCGGTCTTGGAGATGAGCTAGCGAGGTGTCGAGGCCAAGGATCTCCGCCTGCTGTGTAATGCAGGTGGCCAGGAGATCCGTGAGATGAGAGAGGAGCGCTATCTTCTTGGCGCTGTCCTCCAACTTGCCATCCTCGGCCTCGGTCCGCCATGCCGCTGCCATGGTAAGTAACGCCCGCTCTTCAGTGAATATCTTCTCACGTCGCTGTATTCTTTCTTCATCGGCAGCCCTTGCTGCTGCCTCGTCATGCTGGCGCTGTTGTTAAAGTGCCAGCAGACGTGCCTGCTCTGCATCTTCTTCTTCGCTGCTGCTGCAGCGTCATCTGCCCGTTTCTTAGTCTCCGCACTCCAGGCCAGCATGCGGGTCTGATAGGCCTCGTCTGCTTCTCCGGGCCTCTGGTCCATGACTGCTGTTTGAGATCTCAACAGCATAGACCGGCCGGGGCCTGCTGATAAGGTATCCCTTGCTGCTGACGTGGCTCTGTTGATGTGTCCTGCTGACGTGGCCTGCTGACGTGTCCTTCTGACGTGGCAACTCACCAATGCCGCCACAGGGGGTACCCGGATTCAAACAGAAACGGTAAGGCGAGAGATAGCAACAACATAGGTGGGGAGGGGTGGGTGGGATAATCGCCCAACTCACACTTCGGTAAGGAGCCA